TCGACCTTGATCCCTGTTAACTCCTCAGCTGTATAAGCAAAAACATCCTCAAACTCTCTTATCAACCCAATCAATTTCGATCTCATAGGCTCCTCCAACCCCTTCCCAATTCTAAACTTCATTTCCTCCAAACCCTCCACCATTTGGATTTCCTCGATCTCGCCTCTCGGCTGCATCTCCACCTTCTCCTTTCCTTTATCTGATTTCAACTTCTCCTCCTTCGACCTCAAACCTCCAGGTCGACTCAGCACTCCCTCTTCCGACTTCACCTGCTTCTTCGCGAGCTGTTTATTGTTGCTCACCGTGGTTTGATAACAACTCCTCGAAGTGAGCTGATCCCGTACGACCTCCCCATCATTTTTGCCCATCGGATATTAGATCGTCATATGGCACGTTGACACGACTGCCTAGAACGCATTCAAACCAGTCCTTCCCATGATGATGTTGTACGATGACTCTGCTCCTACAACCACGAACCTTACCATCCTCACCTTCCTCGTCGCTCCTTTCCCCAAGGCGACAAATAGGCTCACCTCTCCTATCGACATCACCTCGCCTCCATTGAATTCATACAAGGCTGTGGTCACCAGCTTCAGCTCGAGGTTGAGCTCATTGCTTATCTGCACAAAACAATCATAAAACATAACATCAACCGAACTCCCGGTATCAATGAACACCCTTTTCACATCAAAGCCTGCCACTTCCGCCATAATCACTAATGCGTCATTGTGGGGCAACTTCCCTCCCTCAACATTCTCTGTCCGAAAACTTATCTCCGGCATTCGAGCAGTAATCTCCACCTCTTCTCTCTTCCTCTTTATCGCTCGAATATGCCCCTTCCTCGTATTGTTTGAGTTTCCATCAGTTGGTCCTCCCGAAATCATATATATTCTCCCCCTCTTCACAAGGACTTGGTCCTCCTGACCTCCTCGTTCTCTACTCTATTTTCTTCTCTTACCTCCATCACCTTTTCGATGACCACACAATTCTCTAGATTCATCTTCCTCATCGTCATCATTCCGATCATTCATTTCCACCGAATCCTCTCGACACCTCTTCTTCTCTTTCCCCTTCTCTTTATCCTGGTTCACAAACTCCTTGAGATGTCCTGCTCTAATAAGGAGCTCTATCTCATCCTTGAGGTGTCTACAGTTCTCTCTCACATGCCAATAATCCTTGTGGAAACGGCAGTACCTCCCAGACTTTGGTTGTGTTGGCCCTTCTCTCCTCGACTTAGGCCACGTCACCTCCTTGCTGTTGATCTTCTTCTTAATGGCCACCAACACTTCTCCCATTTTTGCGTTGAACGGTGTAAAATTATGGAATCGCTTTCCGGCTATGATAGGTCGATCTCTCCATCTATCTTCAAGCCCTAGACCAACCCTGCCACGCCCTTCTCTCTAGGGCGACCTCCCTCTCGGGGATACCCTCCTGGGCGAGTTCTCTCTCCCCTTCTTGGACTCTAGCCGAGCCAACTCCTCCAACTAAGCAAACTCCGCCTCCGTCTCCTCCAGATTAATGTACTTCTTGCACCTCTTCAACACCTCATCATAAGTACGAGCAGGGGTTTTGGCCAGAGATGTTCAACAGGGCCCTGCTCGTAAACTCCTTATCAACCCTCCTGCTTTCACCTCATCAGAAGCCGTGTGGATCTCCAAGAAAGTTTGATTATATCGAGCAACATACTTGCGCAATGACTCCTTCTCTCATTGTCTCATCGCCATCAAAGTCAAGTACGTCTTTTCCTGGAATACAACACTCGCATATTGAGTTGTTAGTTTCTCCGCAAAGTCCTCAAAATCTGTGATCGATCCATGAGGGAGCTGCTGGAACCAGTCGAGCGCACCTCCTCTCAAGGTCGACAAAAACGCCCTGCAACTAACAGAATCAGAATAACCATGTAACACAGCCATATTCTCAAATGCCCTCACATGTCTCGACGGGTCAAAAGACCCATCAAACACCAAACTCATATCCCTGAAATTTGCGGGCAATGGGGCAGCCAATATCTCTCTCAAGAATGGGTGTCCTCGAGCACGCCTCTCTGGTCGACCATCCATCTTGGCCTGCATTTGTCTCATCTGCTCCGCGAGTCTCTCCATCTCCCGATCTCGCGGAGCTCTATCTCCTCCATAGCTGGACACATCCTCCTCCACTACCGTCGGCCCAGCAGCCACTCGAGAGAAGCTCTGCGTGACCTGCTGGACTGTTGTGCCACCGTGTTCGCCATCATCTGTTGCATCTCTTGCCTGGTCATCACCACCTGCTGGATAGGGTGCTGCTCCTCCACCCGCGGCGGCGCTGCTCCCTGTACCACCGCTCATTGCTACTGCACCACGGCCAGATCTGTCTGTAACGGCGTCGGGATCGCTGTTCGCTGAGTCACACGGGCCTCCTGAGCTCGGGTTGAGCCCACATCTGCTTCTGGGTGCACCGGCATGACTCCGAAACCTTGAGGAGCAGGCGTTGGGGTCACCAGTGTATGTGAGGGTCTGGAGAAGCCCGGAGGAGGGCCTTCTCCAAACGGCCTTGTGGTCGTCCATGCCTCATCGAACGACACTTGCAAATTCATTCTGGGAATTTCGTCCGCCGTAGCTACCAAGCTCAAGTAACCTCAGCACACCACTTTTCGAACGAAAGTCCCACAGACGACGCCAAAATGGTAACGCAAAACACTTCGACCGGCTTGAAATCGGCTCGTCTTTCTCTTCCTCGCCGGTAGAACGCCGCATACCTGCAAAGAACTCTCACACCGGGGGGTTTTTCCGGTGAAGAGCCTCCGATGCTTAAGTCAGTATGTGTTTCACTCAATTCTCAAGAGTAAAAAATGGATAAATCGTAAGCAACAAGAAAGACTCACTCTTATATATATAAGAGTGAGATACCTGCCTAGGAGCTGCCCGGATTTGGTGAGCTGTCCGCCCAACTCTACCCGGATCTGCCCGTTCGTACGCACACAGTGTGTGTGTGTCAGAAGTAGTTATCGCCACTATCGCTCTGCACCAATGTACTTTCTCCACGTACTCTTCCGAGAAGAGGGTGATTATTCCCTTGAATATTCCTTGAGAATTCCTGAGGAAGGCCACGCGCTTCCTCGCGCCTACATCACACTCTCGTTTGCTCTTCACTCGCTCAAGTGGTCGATCAGATAGGCTCTCGATTTCTCTTCGCTCGCCAGGTGGTCGATCAGATAAGCTCTCCTTCAATAGGTCGATCTTCGACCATATCTGCTCCGATGTTCGACCATTTTTTTCTGGTTTGCTATTGCTCGACCGGCGTGGCATTTCCCGTATTGGCTTATATGACCGGCCCAATGAACCGGTATATTCCTTAGGTATATAATATCCCATATCAATGTTGATAATATTTTGGTCAAGATAAATATTACAACATATTTTAATTTCTAACCATAATATTATATTTTTTCACAAATATTAACTTTTTATCCAAAAATATTTATAGAAAATCGTAACAGATTAGGTAGAATATTTTGTTCCAATTAAGAAATCAAGTTGGTGAATTAATCTTTGTCAATATAATTTTTTCTTAAACTTTATTTCGTTATATATAAAAAATAAATTATTCTTTAAATTAAAATAGTTTACCATTTAAGAGATAATGACCAGATACGTTAAGGGGGCGATTGTTTATAATTTCTACAGTAAAAAAACCAATCAAAACTCTTATTTAACTCAACTTCAACCTAAACCCTACTATCTCCCATATTATCAATATAATTAAATAATATCAACCTATCATTCTTACACATCACATCAATTTTAATTCACTATTCATTCACTCACATAATTTTAAGTAACTGTCACTTCCAATCATTTTTCTCATACTTAACATCACATCAACTTTAATTATTTTATTTAAATATTATTTTAATATGTCCACTAACAACTAACCATACCATATTTTTCAAAATTAACTATTGTTAAAAAAAAAAATCAAATAAAAACTAGTTGAATCCATAAACAATCACCCCCTAAATAGTTTTACTAATAGTCAAAAATTAAAATTTAAATATATTAACTATTCTTTAGAACTTATTTGTATGTTATTGGCAACCATGATTATTTTTTTATTATTTTCTTTTATTTTTGATTTCTTTCTATAATGAAATTCTTGTAAAATATATTTTCATTGCAGAATAGTCTGAATAAACGATAAATCCTTATAATGCAAATTAGAAAAATCTTGATTATAGAAGGGATTGAGTTTTTGGCATTTGATAAATCAAAGTGTTTAGTTAGTATACAAAATTAAATTCTAAAAAACATGTGTGTATATTTTGTAAAATATTTATACATTGTTTAATTTTAAATTTATTTACATATTCTAAATTGAGTACAAAAATAAATAATGCTAACGTGCATTAAATATTTTTCATTACATAAAATAAAAAGAAAAAGAAGACGTGCAACTTCTATAACTTTTATAAATAATAATGACATTATTATTATAATAACAATCAAATTTATATTAGTAATAATTTTTTAGTGAAATAATATATTAATTATTTTACAAGCTAACCCTAACATGTTCATATTTAATGTTCTGGCTAAAAAAAAACAATGATTAAAAGTGGTGGAAAATATATTATAACCCTATTATTTTTTTAGACTTAACGCTGATTAAAAGAGGTGGAAAATAGATGATAATCCTATCGATTTTTAGAATTAAACGGACAGGAGAAAATTGCAAATTTGGTCCCAAAACTTTTTCTGTTTCCCACATTTGGTCCCAGGCAGTGCAAATTTGGTCCTTTAGATTTTTCGTTGCGAATTTGGTACCAAACCGTCTGGACTTAACAGTCTTCTTAGTCAACCACGTTAGTCAAAGTCTGTTTGGTCTAAAAGGAGGGAAAATTAGCTGCTTCATACTCAAATGGCGGGAAAACTGTGAAGATTGCCCCCTTATAAATAAGATAATCAACAGGAAGATGAATTCTTCATCTCCAACCATTTTCCACCAAAAAAAAAAAAAAAAGAAAGATGAGTTCTTCAAGTTCGTCGATGCGAGAAACCCGAGTTCTTTGTCTTTGCGGTAAGTATGCTCGAATGACAACTTCATGGACGTCAGCCAATCCCGGAAGGAGGTACCTGCATTGCGAGGAGAAAGCTTGCACATTTTGGAAGTGGTTTGACCCTCCGATGTGTGCAAGATCAAAGGAGATAATACCTGGTTTGTTGACTAAAATAAATCGCCTAGAAGATGAAACCAACCGGCAGCATGAGAGTGCAACTACTCTTGAAGCAAATGAGAAAAAAATGAAGAAGGTGAAGAAGCTGGAAAAAGAAAATAGTCAACTCAAGAAGAAGAACAACATTTTAGTGCTACTAGTTGTAATCACATGGTTGGTGTTGATGTTTAAAAAATGAGCAGATGTATGGTATTTGCCCTAATGTATGTTGTTTCTGATTTGCCCTAATGTATGCTCTGCCCCAATGTATGCTCTTTATCTGATTTGCCCTAATGTATGCTATGTTTCTGATTTGCCCTAATGTATGCTCTGTTTATGATTTGCTATGTAAGCAACAAGCAACATATTGCTCTATACTAACTAATGCTTCTAATTTGCCAACAGCCTTATTTCATTCAATTTTATTTTTCCTAACAAACCCACAGAATTGGACCAAAGAAAAAAAAAACAGCACCATTGATTGTTCTTAAAGCAGCACCAACAAGTGTATATACACATTGTACACAAATGAAGAATTATTAAATAAAGCAACACCATTGCAAACACAAATGAAAACAAATAAAGCAGCAAACACAATTGCTCATATCAAATCCAAAAACAACCACCACTGCCCATTCAATTCAACAACCATTGTTCATACCAACTCATACCAATTCACCACTTCATCATACCCAAGTTCAAAAGAAGCCAAAAGATCAAAAGAAGCCACCAACATATGCTACATGCATTGTTCACAGCACACCCAAGTTCCAAGTTCCAAAAATATTCACAAAACATAACCAAAATATATTACTTCAACAAACAAGACACTGCAGATAATGGAGGAAATGAATAGAGGACTTATGGCATTGGATTACTTGAAGAAGCAGCCTCTTTAGTGCCTTTTCTTGCTCCCTTTGATGTTGTTGCCTATATAATAAAAAAAAAACCAAGCAACCTTTGATTTCATAAAAGAAACAATATAAAATGAATACATAAACATTAAAATAGAACAAGACATAAGTAACTCACACTCATTTGGGATTGAGGCTGGGATTGAGGCTGACTTGCAGGTGGGAACTCATCTCCTTGAGTCAACTCCTCAGCTTCAGCTTCAGCTTCCATGTCAAAGGCACCATCTTGAAGTCCACTTTCAGCCAGCTTCTTCCACTCACAGGTTCTTTGATTATGCCCCTTTTGATGGCAAAACTTACAAGTCATCTGTCCCCTTTGATTCTGAATTTTCTGTCTATATTTGGTTTTTTTACCACCACCCTTATCTTCACCTGCTCCCATCCTTCTCTCCCTCACAGGCCTACCCCTTTTTCTTTTTCCAAAATTTGGAGGTAATGGAGGAATGTATCCTGTCCTATCCCACAGATTAGGTCCAGATATTGGATTAATGGCTACTTCATACACTTTGGCATAGGTTTCACATGAATAACATTCGTCCACAAAGTCCACTGGTTGATGCCCTTGTGCCAATAATGCACTGCATGCATGCTTGCATGGAATTCCAGTGAAATCCCATTTCCTGCAGCTACATGTTCTGTCCTTCAAGTTCACAATGTGTCTATCACCACTACTACAATCCAGCTGGTAAACCCAATCAGTGGATTTGATTGGTATGCAATCACATGACTTGCTTTCATGACTATCTACAATTTTTCTGATCTTAGGACATATCTTCTTACCCTCCCACTTTCTCTCAGCCATGTCCCTATTCTCTTGCAGCCTACTCATCAAGTACTGCCTCACCCATTCCAGCATGGTTAGGATTGGTTTCTGCCTGGCCGCTATAATACAACTATTGAAGACCTCACATATGTTATTCAGCAACATGTCTGATTTAACACATGTGGTGAAGTGGGATTTTGACCACTGTTGTGTAGGTTTTTCTTCAAGCCATTCCTTGCATTTTGGGTCAATTTCTCCAACCCTTTTCATTGCCTCTTTAAAATCAGGAACTATTGTTGCTTTGGCTGCTCTCCATAAAGCCTTCTTAAATGCAAGTCCTCTGAACCCAGCTGTCTGCATGTTGGCATGTAAATGTCTCACACAAAATCTGTTATGAGACCTGGGAAACACATCTTCAAATGCAGGAATTTGGCACTTCTGTTTGTCAGATATAAAGGTCCACTCCTCCTCATTAACAATATCCAAATCAGACTTCAGATTCCTCAGAAACCAGGACCAAGAATCTTTTGTTTCTCCCCCAACAACTGCATATGCCACAGGATATGGATTGTTAGAAGGATCTACCGCAACAGCTGTGAGCAGAATTCCACCATGCCTACTCTTCAAATGGCAACCATCAACCCCAATTAACTTTCTACATCTAGAAATAAATCCAGCCTTCAATGGGGCTAAGCAAATGTAGATTTTTTCAAACTTTTTCTCTCCATCAGGACCAGGGGCATCTGTAAGTGTCAACAGGATGGTGCTTCCAGGATTTTTCTCTCTCAATGATTCAGCATAATCCCACATTTTGGCATATTGGTCTGCATGGTCACCCTCAATTGCCTTCAAAGCAAACTGCTTGGCTCGGAATGCCTTGTTCTTGGATACATGGCACCTTAGATCACCAATTGCATATGTCCTGAAACCCCTGAGTGATCTTTGAGGGTCACTTCTGAATGTTTCTTCATATTTTTCTGCAATCCATCTTGATGTCAAATTCTTCACTTTCCAAGATCTTGCACAAGAGTGCTTGTAATTGTAAGATCTTATCATGTAGGCTTCTTCATTGGTCACTTTAATGGCATTAATTGCCCAGGGACACCCATTTGCCTCTTCATAACACCTAACATAAACTCTTCTTTTATCATTTTTGGTAAACTTCAAGCTTCTGTGGGTTAGCACCATGGTTAGCAATGGCTTGCTTAAACATCTTCTTGGAGGGAAACTTCTGGCCAAGTTCAAACTTTGGATTGTTAATATGCCTCTCATTGAAGACATTGCTCTCAGTTTCTTCATTTTCCCCATTTTGTTCATCTGAGTCACTGCAACTAGAGAAATCATCATGACTGCTATCCTCTGTGCACTTGGAACTGGAACTGTCAGTGGACATTTCATCATCAACCTCATGTTGGTTCTCTTTCTGTTTAGGCCCCTCCACACACTCTTCTGCCTCAACATATTCTTCAAAAAGGATATCATCAAAACCACTGTCAGTGTCCCTACTTGCACAAAAGTCCTCATCCACAGATTGGTCACCCTCATCCTCAAGCACACTCATATCTCCATCACCTGCAGGCACACTCCTTTCACCATCACCTACAGGAACACCCCCATCACCTACAACAACACCTCCATCACCTACAGAAACACCCCCATCACCTACACTCATATTTCCTGTTTTCTCAGCAACTAACCATATATGGATTTCTCTCTTCTTATGCCTATCAATAGCCAATAACAAATCTGTTTCCATGGTTATCTCCCTGAACTTTTTGAAGGAGTCAAACCTGTAAAACTTTTTGACTCCACCATAACCCAACTCCTCACAGAATCTACCCAAGTCACCCATGTTAACCTTACTTTTGTCCACATAATCAAAGGCACTAATCTCTCCTCCCACATACCTCTGATGTCCTGGAGTTATATCATCCATTATAACCCCATCATGGTGTATTTTCAAGGTAAGGAAATAAGGGTCTTTGCCACTTGCAATTCAATAATATGAAACAAATAAAAAATTTGATACAAATGACCACCATCACTTGTAAAAATAAACAACATAACAATAACGTTCATGGACCACCACTGAAATTGTCTACTTGAAAAGGAACATAACAAATTCATGGACCACCACTCTCAGTCATCACAAACATTAGTCCCAGACCACATACATTAATCCAAATGGACCACCACTCATCACTCATCAGTCATTAGCGGACCACATACATTAATCCCAACATTACCAATTACATTGTAAAGAATAAACACAAAAGCCCTAATTTATATGATAAATAAACCCTAAAGCCCTAAATTGTCAAATAAAATAAACCCTAAAGCCCTAAATTATCAAATTCCATCATCTACTATATATACAAAACAAAAACCCTAAATAACATACAAAACTAACATAACAAATGCCGAATTTTAACAAAATTGAAAAAAAAAAGAAAGCCATGAGAGTGAAAGAAGAATCACGAAAATGAATGTTACCGTATTTTGGGTTTGAAGAACACGCTGCATCCTCTGAGCGAAGCATGTTGCACTGCCGGCGTCTAATTTCAGTTTTATCTAGGGTTCATGTCGATTTTTGTGATGAATTTGGATGGAAATCTCTGCCCTAATTTTCGTTACAGAGAGATAGAGAGAGTTTTCGATTTTGTGTTTTGAGAGTGACGATTCGATTTTCTAACAGATAACAAATTAAAAATAACGACTAACGTGGTTGACTAAGAAGACTGTTAAGTCCAGACGGTTTGGTACCAAATTCGCAACGAAAAATCTAAAAGGACCAAATTTGCACTGCCTGGGACCAAATGTGGGAAACAGCAAAAGTTTTGGGACCAAATTCGCAATTATCTCAAACGGACAGAGACTGTGAAATTAACTCATAATATCTCTATCTCGTGCATCACACGGGATACGTACTCGTATAATATATTATCACTATAAAATATATTTGGTATATAATATTAAATGATTGAATAACGAAAATATGGAAGTAAGTTGATCTGCTTAGCCCTGAAAGGCGATTTAGGTAAATTATAACAAAATCAGTAATCATTTAAGAGTTTGATTCGTTTGCCATGATTGGTAATTAAAAATAATTTTTGGTAACACAACGTTTAGAGAAAAACAAAAATTGTAGTTTGTGGATTTTAATATTTGAATCTTACTAGTGCGTAGCCCGTGCGATTAACGAGTAAACAATTTTAATAATAATTATAAATGGGTCTCAAATTCGAGTCACCCAATGAAAGAAATGGAGAACTACAATTGATCTTCTTTTAAAAGAGTAAGAAAAACAAAATATTACAAATTAAAGATTGGGTAAATAATATAAAGTAATAATTATAAATTAAAGATGTGAGGTTGACATGTGATATAATTTATTGTATAACAGTTTATTATAAACAATATAAAATTAGCTCGTACAAGAGAACATAAAATTTGTATGTTTAAAATATTAATAACACCTAAAATATTATATTAACATATGTAAAAGTATCTAAAATTTTTTATATTATTATTAAAAGATGTGAAGTGACCTACAACTTTTCTAAACTATTTTGGAAAGAAAACATATTTAAAAATATTTAAATTTTACATTTATATGCAAGACGTTTTTTAAACTTTTTTGTAAAGAAAATATACTTAAAAATATTAAAATTTAATATGTATATGTATATGTATATGTGTATACGTATATGTATATATATAGATAGAATATGACATGATAAAATATTATATAAAAGTATCTAATATTATAAGCCTAAATAAAGACATTATAAAGTTCTTGAGAGAAAATTTACCTAGTATATACAAAATATATATTGACATGATATCGGGAATTATGACATTACTTCCGTACCTAAAAATTTGAGTACAAAAGATTAATTTCAAAATTATTATTATTTCTTTGGTTACCGTAAAAAGAAATTTTGTATGCATACCTTTATTCGGATTTATCCATTTTACAAATAAAATAAAATTTATTTTATATCTAACCGAGATTAAGATAAAGTTGTTACTAAAAAGCAATTTTGCATTTATCAATTTTACAAATACAAATCGAGATTAATGTAAAAAAAGAAAAAGAAATTTTGTACCCATAACAGTTACACATTTATTAATTTTACAAATACAAATCAAAAATAATGCAAAGCAAAGCGTAACAAATAAAATGAGATGCTATATCTAATTGAAATTAAGACAAAAATTTTGTTCTTGGGACGCGTTTATTTTCACTATCAAGTTTAATTTAAGATCTTTCACAACATTATTTATTAATAATTTAATTGCATCAACTCCAGTTTAAAATCTTTCACAACTTTATTTAATAATAATTTATTAGTAACCATCAACTGTGTTGATACGATCAAGTTTAATTTAAGATCTTTCACAATTAATAATTTAATTACATCAACTTCAGTTTAAGATCTTTCACAACTTTATTTAATAATAATAATAATAATTTATTAGTAATCATCTACTTTGTTGATACGAAAAATTTATAGGCTCTCGAAGATGTTGAATTTTAATCCCAAAATGGTTGAACATTTGCACAAGAGAATCTCCTATCATTATTTCTATGATCTCCATTGTTCAAAATGCACGAGTAAATATCCCATGCGATGCACGAGTCAGATATATTAAATGAGTCATTTTCATAGGTCTGTACCTTTAGGCCTGAAAAAAAAAACATAATTGACTTATCTATTTTCTACCTCTTTTAATCAGTATTTTTTTTAGTCATAACGTTAAACTTGAGCCTATTAACCATAGTCTATAAATTAATTAATATATTATCCCGCTGAAATATTTATGCTATTATAAATTTGATTTTAACATATATATTTATTCCTTCATATAAGAAAAATAACAGTTTACATATTCTTGTTCACCGTATAAGACTTGATTAATTATTTTATTAAAATTTGTTATCATATACGACTTGTTCATCATATAAGAGTTTTACATATTCTTGTCATTATAGTTCACCATATACGACTCATAGAAGTAGTCTTTGTCTTCTTTTTCCGATTTTATATAATGAAAAATATTTCATGTATATTCATATTATTTATTAATGTAGTAAATTAAATTACGTAAATAAATTCAAAATAAATTATTGTGAATAAATATTTTACAAAATATACACACATGTTATTTTAGTATAGTATAAATATTTTAAAAAATGTACACACATGTTATTTTAGTGTTTAATTGTTTATAATAATTAAACAACTTTGATTTAACAATTTCTAAAAACTAAATTCCTTTTATAATCAAGAGATTTTACTACTTTGCATCATAAGGTTTTATACTATGCAATGAAAATATATTTTTTAAGAATTTCATTATGGAGAGAAATCAAAATAAAAAAAATAATGAAAAATTAATCATGGTTGACATAATATGCAAATAAATCACATTTTAAAATTCTAAAGATTGGTCGAAATATGTAGTTTTATTATCTGACCATTAGTAAAATTATTTAATGTGTCTAATCATTATCTATTAAATGGTAAATTATATTAATTTGAAGAATAATTTTTATAAATAACGAAATAAAATTTAAGAAATAAATTATATTAGTAAAGATAAATGTACTAATTTGATTTTGCCTAACTAATTGGAAGAAAAATATTTACCTAACCTGTTACGATTTTGTATAAATATTTTAGGATGGAAAGTCCATATTTGTGAAAAATATAATAATATTGTTAGAACTTAAAATATGTTTTTATGTTTATCTTGACAAAATATTATCAACACGAATCATAAAAAATCAATCTTGTAATTTATTATAATGAATATCAATAAAATTATGCAGATGTTAATAATCAATGAAAGTATCTTTTTGATTATATTTGATTTGATCTAATTTGGAAACATGTATATGCAAACAATTAATGCATATATTTAAAAAGTTTTCTAAAAAGACATGCATTAAATGCTCTTAAATTTTTTTGCTACTATATTTGGTAAATGTAAGATCTCTTTATATATATACATATAGTTATTTAACAAGAACAGGAGGTTAGAGCAGGATTATTTAATAGTGGTATCGTAGATATGCGTGTATATTATAAGTAGCCCAATCTATATATATGTATATAAAAATTCGTATTTACTTGAAATAGTAATTGAAATCTCGCCTAAAATTTTTATTTTTATTTTTATCAGTAAATTTTTGTGAAAATTTTTAACAGTGGCGGTCAGTTTTTTGAAATTTAAATTATAAAAGTCAATGTAATTAATGTATAAAATAATTTTAGTCATATATTGCGGCTATTACTTATATTAGTTGCATAGTTAAATTTTGATAAATAATATATTTTGTATATAATATTAAATGATTGAATAATGAAAATATATTTGGTATAGTATAACATATTTGGTAATTACGGTTTGCCTAAAATCAGGCTTAATATTGAATTAACTTATGATGGTAGATCCAATCTTATTTTGAATTTAAATAACAAAGTAATATATTATGTACAAGTGTGATGTATATTGCAATTCAGTCACGTTTTTCTTCAATCTNTTTGAAAATATGATCGATGTACATTACATATAAAACTATTATATGTTACGAATTAGTATAGCATATATATATATATAGGGGACGGACCCAATGAGACCACTCCTTAAAATGAGTACATGAGACTCAATCTTGGCCACTCATTTTGTCTAGATCAAAATCAATTAAAATATACATTAATTAAATAATAAAATAATTATTAGTTGACTTCCAGCGTTGACCGTTGACTTCCGGCGTTGACCCGTTGACAACTAACCTAGCAGCAAGAAATAAATAACATAACACAACAAAAGACAACTAACCTAGTAGCAAGAAATAAATAACCTAGCAATAAAATATAACTAACCTAGCAGCATCAGACAACTAACCTAGCAGCAAGAAAGAAATAACCTAGCAACAAAATACAACTAACCTAGCAGCATCAGACAACTAATCTAGCAACAAAAAACAACTAACCTAGCAGCTACAGATAACTAACCTAGCAACAAAAGACAACTAACCTAGCAGCAAGAAAGATGACATGACCGTTGCCTTGATGGTTTCATCCGCGACTCTCCATGGATGACCTACAGCACCCGTGGCTATGGTCCTCCCATCTCTCACCTCTCTTATGCGGATGACATCATCATATTCACCCGGGCGGATGATGATGGCCTGGTTGAGCTTATGCGTCTTCTGGAGCACTATGGCTCGGTCACCGGCCAGCTGGTCAGTGCGCAGAAGAGCACCTTCACCCTCTCCTCTTCCAGCGCAGACAAGTGGGCTCAGCGGGTCCACGAGATTACTGGATTTGCGCGTGGCGACCTTCCCATTACCTACCTTGGTGTCCCTTTATATAAGGGCAACCTCACGAGAGCGCTCTTTGCGGACGTCAGGCAGAGGATGATCGACAGGATTTCTGGTTGGTCGCATAGACATCTTTCTTTCGGTGGTCGGCTAGCGCTGATCAAGAGCACTCTTAGCTCCCTTCCGCTTCACTTGCTTATGGTCTT